TCAGATGCAGAGGTGAGGGACGGGACGGAGGAGGTAGTGCAGGGTTGTCCAACTGGCGGCCCGATGGTCACATGCGGTCCGCGCTGCCGCTTCTTGTGACCCGTGAAAGGTCATTTCTCCAAAAGTCCCATGCAATGATATTGAGCGAGAACATTGGGCTTCTAATTCATGCGTTTTTCTTGGTTCAACACAACCTTTAGTGTAAAATTAGTTGAAGTTAGATTGAAGATTTTTTTCTAGTGAATTCAGAAATTAAAAATCATTCCAATTTCATCCACTGCGTTACGCATGGTATGGCCTGATATCACACATGGTTCCATCCCCCTTCCCCTCCGTTCCAGATCAGCCGGGCAAAGAGCCGAAATCAACAGTACGGAAAAGTTAAAAGCGGATCACCGGAGTAATGGAAATCCGGGAAATAAAGGTTTGAGTTGTGGCCCTTGAGAACTCGCAAGATGGACTCCCCTGGTGTGGGGGCTGTGAAGGACGCGAACGCTCAGCGATGTATCGGGAAGTGCCGAGGTGAACGGGGAGGCCTTGGAGTGGGGGCGGAGGCGACGCGAGCGCCCTCTGTTCCTCCCGCGAAGGAAACCGAACAGATGAATGGGGGTCAAAGACAGTGATGCGGAATATTCTGTGACATCGGTGCTGCAGTCGGAAATAGGAGTAGAATGCACGTGTAAAAGCTTCATCTGGGCATACATTTATGAACAAAATGTGAATTGTTTGTCATGCTAATGTATTCCTGTTTATTTATTGCAACTTATGAATGTGCAGTGTTGAGGGTCGCATGGGAGGTGGAAGGGTGACTAGTGGCATCATGGCTCTGTGATGGGAACAAGACACATCGCAACAGGGGTGGCTGAGTTGGAGATGGAGCCTGAAATGTTGCGGAAGGCGTACAGTTTGTTTGAAAATTGATGTATTTAATTTGCAATGTCGGTGAAAGTATAGTTATGTTATTTTAATTCCAAAGAAAAATATTTTTTTATTGAAGGGAACACACGACACGGAAAAGAAGTCCGAGATAACATTTATTACACAAACGGAACTCGTACCAATGAAATTGGCGTGCCCAATTTCTCACTCAGTCAACCGAAAATGAATAGAACGTACAAGTATGAGCTGATTGCGGAACCTGGAGAAAGAAAGGCAAAGACACTAGACGCGAATGTCAAGATGAATGCACTCTCTAATAGAGATGAGAGTGAAAAAGTTCTTGAACGAAGCAATTACCCCCGAGATTCTGATAATTGCTACAGTGAATGGGAAACCCATTTAGGGAGATGTCGGTGAATGACGGGAGAAACGGAAATCGTCCCTCTAAACGCCACTTTACGATTCTTGCGATTGCGTTCAAGCGAAGTCAGTAAACGAGAAGCGACATCTCGTGGATCCGCTTCGCGGCTTACTGATGACTGTTTCTATGCCATGCGGTACGACTCGGTTCCAGTATTATGAGAATCGGTTTCGCTACTAATGAATATATTATGTCGTGGTACTGATATTACACATTCAGTGCAGGTATAATAAGGTATAATAAGGCGATTGTTTCAATTTTATCAAGTTATCCTACTTGCCTCTCCTTGAAACAATTTTTGTTAAAATTTGTCCTAACGTGTTTGTCCTTTGTTCTAATCAGGCGAAGTAAACTTCTTTCCTTTTACAAAACATTTGAAGTGTAAACTATTATACATAAAAAAAGGAGAGGCCCAGAGCCTATTATTCTGCCGAATCATACGCGAAAATCGAATACTCGTAAATAACACAAATTAGAGAGGAGGATTTCCTTTGCTTACAAGCGAAACACATCAAATCAAGAGTTCTAACTTTGAGGAAATGTAACTTACTACATATAAAAATAATGGAAATAAGTAATAAACGTTAAGAGTAATAAACATAAATAATAAAAATTAAAAATCATGGAAGTAAGATGTAAACTATCTCAATTTATAATTAAAGCTTTCTAGATAGTCCATAAATACGAAGTGAAATATAAGTATGTACTAAAAGTTTATCGATGCTGAACTACGTTGGAAATAGAAATAGCCGTCTTGTCGGAAACGGGCCCCCAGACGCCTCAGACTCGCACTGAAGATGGATGCAATGCGAAAGCGAAAAAACCAAAGCTAAAAAAGCTTTCTGGCAAAATAAACACAGATAAAACAAAGACAACAATCATATATATTTCTTTAGTGATGCCAGTCTCGTAAACTCCACACAATGTCTTTGCATTATGTTGGGAATATTGAAACTTCACTTCCGATCATAGGATCGTATCAACGATTTTGATTATACTTGTATCTGCGTGTCTAGCCCTGCTCTGTTGTGTACTCGTGCGTAGACCTGGAACGCCGTCCCGAACCAGTGGGCCAGGCGCTCGGGAGCGGCGGGGAGAGTGACAGCCTCTGCTTCTGGCACCGCAGCTGTGCGCTTGACACCGAGAGAGCGCTTGCCAGCGACGTGGAGAGCGAGTGGACGTGTAAATTATTGTGTGGCTCTGCGACAGATGTGGAAAACGTACAGCTTGTTGACCGCGTGGGAGGATGGTTGCGGTCTGTGGTCGAATGAATGCGCTAGGCGTTTGACGTTCACAAATGAAATGACGAAATGCTTCTGAATGAGTGATACATTTCATAGAACGTTTCAAAGGAGAAATATTTTCAAAATCCATTTGTTTTCGATGAAAGTGCAAAAACCCATGCTCAGTTTGAATTCAAATTGATTATTTATCCCGAATACACATTTCAACTCTCACGATGAGCAACAGAAGTCTTCTTTTCGGTTCTTAACTATCTTTCAAATAAAAAACTTCGCAATTTAAGTCTAAACTAAACGTAACTCTAAACTCTGATTTTTCCTCTCAGGAGCCGATTTCAATGGAATTTTTTCTTCTCGTCCTACCTGGTATTACATCCATTCTCTATCAACCGGAAGCAGGGTCTTTGGAGGGGGCCTCCGCCACTCCATCACCATTTCTACTCTAGTTCTCCAGGCCGGGACCCTACCTGTCACCTACTGCTGAGGTAGCCGCAGGCTTTCTCAGCTAGTTCCTCCTATCGCCTAGGCGCCGCTGTGAAATCTTTGCGAGAATGAATGTTAGTGTTAGCATGTGGTAGGGAATGATTGATGGAGCGTACCAGTGGAAGAGGAAACTAGAAACGGGCATAATGACAGGGGAAACGGGAGTGCCCCAAGAATACCTGCCGCGAACCCACTTAGTCCGCCAAACCTTCCATTTGGGACCGCCTGGGATCGAAC